GTACTAACTAGTATATATATATATATATATATATATATATATATATAGTTTATTCTGATATTTTGCAAATGGTTCAAATTCAGTGTACAAGTGACAACAATAAAACCCATATGTTGGTTGTGAAACAGCCTAAATACATTCATCTCAATAATACAGGGAAGCTATGACATTCTCACAGTTGGGATCTAAATACATTGAAGAGCTTAAGTTTCTCATTCCAACATAAATCTTGCCTATAATGAGAGGAGTGTGACCAGGACTAATCTTTTAAGTGCTGTAAAGTAATTTTCTTTGTAATTTATGGTGTCTGTATCGTTTGGTAATCTCTTCTAACAGGATGTATTAAGTTACAAGGGGTCAGGCTCAGGCAGTGCTTATTGAAACCACCTGTCCTATAAACTGTTACATACATTCGTTAGTAGTGGTAATTAGTTTTGTCTTTATTCTGAAACAACATACACGGACAGATGTTGAAATAAACTTGTCTGAAAGTTCAAAAAAATGATATTCAAGCACCGAAAAGCTTTCTTACTATCATATCTACAGTAACGTTCAAACGAGAGTGACCACCAACAGGGGTGAGATAGTTTACGGAAAACATACAAAGTTCATGCTGCTGACCCCACGGTTTATTCGGCACAATAAACAAAAGTACGACTGCAATGAAACATAAACATAAATTTGAAGTAAAAATATATTTATGAAACAAAATTAAAATGTTTTTATGTACATATATAAACATGAAATCCTAGTTAAAAATAAAAATACTAATTTATTGTTTAGGTTTATTGACAAACATTATTTTCGAGTCTGTATATTACTTGAAACCATAAGAAGAGTACGTGATTATTGAAAAAATTAAAAATAGATAAAATATGCATTTTGTGGATGATACAATTTTTTGGGGATTTCAAAATAATGTACTAAAACATAAAAAGTAATAAGTTCAAATCTGGAACAAATATAAATATCATAATCATTTCTTATAAATACCATTTCCTAATGTAATTTTCCAAGATATTAAAAAAATTAGGAAATGAATATAAATTATGCCTTTTTCGTTTTAGAATGACTACATATTATAATCCAAAAACATAAACGTTTAGACTAAAAAGGTTAAATCTCATAACTTTATACATTTATATATATATTTAATATTTTTATTATATTGACCTTTTAGCCATTCCTGGCTAAAAATACAGAAGTTAGAATGATGCGGCACACGTGTACTCATGTTAACCCTATCCAATAATATAAAACTGACCTTTAGTCTTTACAAAGTGACCTGTCTTGGCTGTGTTTTAGTAGACTAGTATTTTGTATATAT